TCCCACAATAATCGCGACCTCAATCAAAACGTAGGTCGAGCAGCTCGCCGTTGGGCCCACGCGCGACACACGGTCCTGTACATCGAGATAGTCGTCCTGTTGCACCACCCGCCCCACCAGTACGGTACGGGGGTGAAGGTTTTAAAGCCCTTGATGACAGATTTCTTTCCACCGCTGCAAAGCCGAAACTTTACTATCTCCCCGTTCCACAAGAAGTCGTGGAGAAGCGCCTTGATCGATTTGCCGGCCTCGACCGCGCCAAGCCTCCGTCTCGACGAGGAGGTGATGAGATGCGCAAATACACTTTCGAAGACACAGATTATTTCGTGGACAGGGGTCCGGAATATGGAAGCCGTGGTCGCCGAAGAGGTGGTAGGGGTGCTCGGTTCAGGGACCGTGGAGAGTTTAGAGATAGCTGGCGGCGGTAAGTGGGATGATCTGGTTTGGGATAGGGGCCAAAGCTTTACAATCAACAAATGATGGATCAGCAAGTCTCCATACCGCTCTACATTTGACTGCAGCGAGATACGGCGGATTCGGATCATAGTTATAGGAACATTGGGAGTGTTATCTTTTGCCCCTTCGAAATACCCTTTTACGCCATACGAATAGAAAATGGACATGAATTTTAACAATCATGTCTCCTCGCAATTGTATCGGCCCCATTTTCTTCCCTCTTGTATTATTTTATTTTTCCATTTTATTTTTGTTTCTTTATACCATTCCCTACTGCCGGCCGTCATTTTGAGTCGACGAGATTCAACATGGAGAAAAAAGAACGGCATTTGGTAATGCAGGAATGGCATTATTTGTTTTGCTCACGGCGTTTTGTCTTCTTAGTAAGGCTGGATGAATATGGATTGAGAAAACATATCGGATAGTTTGGTCTCTAACATTTTTCAACTTCTTGACTCCACATCCACATTGTCTTCTGCTTCTTTGGTTGTTGATAGGATTCGTGCGGAGCAACCACTCGGCATACTAAGTAATGAAGCGATTCAAAATACATCATCACACCATTGGTATGTTACGAAGGATATCTAGATACCACCATGGACACATAAACTTGACACGACATTCGCTGTCGGGGTTTGTGGGTACAAAGGAAAATGAACATTCTGGCATCATCAAAAAGAAACACATGCACGGTATCGTATCTATTATGCCAACTGCCACCCCTTTCGACACAGACAAGGACTATTCTATTCTCGGTCAAATCGGCTGGCGAAGGAAATCATCCATTCTCGAATGCGTACCACTCATTACCATCGCTGATTCAGCATGTTGCCGAGCTCTATCAACAACTGTAAACTTTTTGCCCAACTCGCGGATTTCCTGCACACTCTGGCCTAGTTGACCGAGTAGCGCGACCAAGGCAACATCGTTGGCTTGCGCAAGGGATTCAGTTGAGAATGTATCGGACTGTTGTGGAGTTAGGAGGGACGAGTGAGAAATTAAGGAGCGGATGTTGCGCAAAATGGAGTGGGAGATCTGCGGGAAAGAGGTGGCCGTGGATTGTGTTTGGGTGTTTGGTGTCTGTTGGGTGGAGATGCTGGAAAGATAACCTTTTATGAGGTGAAGGCGTGACTCGAGGGTTTTGACAGCAGTAAGACGGGTGGTTAGATTGGCGATCACTATGATATAGTTGGTTAATTTTGTTAGTATCCAATTGATTGGGTCTACTTACGGTCTTCATCTTCCTTAGAAAGCGCAGAAACCTCTTCTGTAGTAGAGTTTTTCCCTAGCTTTTTCGATGCA